AAGAGGTGTTTCCCCAAATGGGCTCTTTTTTTTTTTTTTTAATCCCCGTGAAAGGGTGCACGCATGTACTTATCTTAGCCTCTTGGGAGCTGCTTTTTACTGGTTCGGAGTGTCCAAGCAGAATCTCTGCTGCCCAGTCTCTCTCGATGTGGAAACTGCTTCCTGAGCACGTGCACAGCACAGCATAGCTGTTTGCCTGTTTCACTGTAGACCGCCGTGGCTGTGGCACTGCAGTTTCGCCGCCACAGCTCTGGCGCTCTTCACTTCTTCCAAAGCATCTTCCTCTCCCCTATCCCTCAGACAGATTCCTCAACTTTGCCTTGTTCAGGGCTCCTAGATATTCATATAGAATCAGATCACTAGTTTTTCCAGGTCTTTGTTGTAAGAGGGATATAGGAAGCATCTAACTACTCCTCCATGTTGGCCATGCCTCCTTAATAATGTTTTTTATTTTAGATGAAACAATCAAGATATAAAGTTATTCCCAAATGGTAGTCCTAGCACAGGGGTTGGCAAACTTTTTATGTAAATGGCCAGATGGTAAATACTTTAGGTTTTTTGGGCCATACGGTCTTTGTTACAACTATACAACTTTGCTATGGTAGCATGAAAGCAACCATAGATAATATGTAAATAAATGAGTGTGGATGTGTTCCAAAAAATCTTTATTAATGGACACTGAATGAATTCTGTATAATTTTCATGGACCACATGTTCTTCTTTTGCTTATTTGTTAACCATTTAAAAATGCAAAAACCATTATTAGCTTGCAGACCATCTAATAATAGGTGGTAGGTCGTGTTTGGCTTGCAGGCTGTAGTTTGCTGATCCCTGCATAGCAGTTAATTTTTATGAATTAACTTTCTAATCTAAATTAAAATTGAAGATTTACTGCTTAAACCCTTTTAAGGTATATGGCTTATCATGAATTATCTTAAAAGAGCCTCTTTTCTAGGAAGAAAAATCCATAAAATATAGATAATTAATTTTTGTTTTGACCATAAAGAGGCACTCGAAAAATTCCATAAGTCATTTGACTGTTGTTATTAGTCATGTAGTGCTGCTATAACAGAAATACCACAAATGGATGGCTTTAACGAAGAGAAGTTTATTCTCTCACAGTCCAGTAGGCTACAAGTCCAAATTTAGGGCATCAGCTCCAGGAGAAGGCCCTCTCTGTCAGCTCTGGAGGAAGGTCCATGTCATCAATCTTCCTTTGGTCTGGGAGCTTCTCTGCGCAGGAACCTCAGGTCCAAAGGATGCACTCTGCTTCTGGCACTGCTTTCTTGACGGTATGAGGTTCCCATGTGTCTCTGCTCACTTCTCTCGTTTATATCCCAGAAGAGATTGGCTTAAGACACTATCCAATCTTGTATACTCATCAGTATAACTGCTGCTAATACATCTTATTACATCATAG